TTCAGCGCTGGGTTACCGAGTGACTTCATGCGGCTTCGAGTGATACGGAGCAGTGACACTGCCTCCAGCTCTCCATCACAGGTTCTTGTAAAAATTCTCTTGGGTACTTATTCTATCGCATATGCTCTATCCATGAATCATAATCAGTAAGGCTACTAGTAAGACCACCTCTATTCGCAGAGGAATGGTGGGACGCGCGGACCCGTCCGGCGCCCTGCCGCAGCATTCTCGGTTGTAGGTGACGTTGTTGAACTGCGCAGCAACCTCGAATACCGAACCATTGCCGACATCGTAAAAGTCCACATTGAGGACGTTGGGCGCCCGACCCCAGTCCTCCACGCAGCCTCGGGTGCTCACGCCTAGCGACCCATATCCCTCGACAGCATTTGTCTCATTCAGCAGTACGACGGCAGGGACTAGTATGTCGCTACCAAAGAGCGGATAGTTCAAGTTGAGGTTGTGATTCAACAGGTACAGACGGTCGCGAGCCTTGTCGTCTTCCAGGTCCGGAGGACGCTGGACGGTACAGGGAAACTCGCGATCAACAGGGTTGAAAGGTGTTTCCCACATTTGTGAGAATTCGTCGAGGAGCCAGGGGAATCTTTCCGGGTCGGCCTCATAGTCCATAAACATAACGACTCGCTGGCCCTTGAGGATCATGCTGCCAAGTGTCGGCCAGTCGTCCAGGACCATGGGCCTCACGGGAGGCTGGTAGACGTACTGCAGAATGCCGGTCGACTCGATCCAGGGGACATACATTTCGGCGGGCGCGTAAGCCACATCACCGTACCCGCCATTGCCTAGGAGGATAGTGATCACGTCAAAAGGGTGTTCTTCAACCCAGTTCTTGACTTCTGTAAGCCAATCGGTTATGGGACCGGCTGACAAAACTTTAGCGGAGCTCATGGCATGGGAGATGGAGAAAGGTGCACGACTAACCATCTAGAAGGTCACACGATGTATGACAGAAATGCGGCTCATCCTGACCATCTATCCAGTGCATCTGGGCCTGTAAGAAACGTACTCCGTCGTGCAGTTGAGTCGTCACCTCGTAATGCTGATTTGAGGCAACGTTATTCTGTCGTACAAAAGGCGAGTTGTGACAGCCAACCTCGGTGATGTTGCTGTACTTGCGCTCACAGAGCTCGACGTAATTGTTGCAGGGCTGGGTATTGACCGGCCGTGCACTTGTCGAAGTGGCCGTCGTCGAGAAGTTACCGCTCAGTCTAGTGCTCGTCTCTCTGCCGGTGATGATTGTGTAATCTTGTTCTGTTGATGTCGTGACACGAGTCTCTTCTGTCTCGGTGCCCAATGTCGAAGAGCGACTGGAGGTAACATCATCGGGACGCCCGGTCTGAGTGATCGTGACCCGTTCTGTAGGCTCAGTATAGGGGCCGGTGGGTGTTGCCGGGTCGCCAAAGCTTACGCCATTTGAGCCAGTAAAGAAGACCAGACCGTCAGAATTTGTGAATTCTTGAGCCCAAGCAAGGCGAACGAAGTTGTGGACGGCGACAAATGCTACGCAGGTAGTGACAAGCGAACCAGCCATCGTCAGAGATCCCGAACGTCGCCGGCGTTGCTCGCTCGATAAAGTAAGGGAACAGCCTCGTAATGATGTGGATTGACGATAATGGGGTCCCCGCTCGGAATCCACGGCCTCTGCTTGCTACGAAGCCAAGCGTTCAGGGCGCTAGGGTGCTGCTGAGCGGTGAGGTTGGAGTGAATCTACAGATGTTGGATATGAGGGATGGGACCATCTTTAGTACGGGCAAAGGCCGACCAGCGCAAGTCAGGGAGCTAGCGACCAGTCCGCCTGCCAATCTCTGTGGATGGCAACAGGTCTCAGCACATCAGCATTTCACTGCCAGCGGGGAGGAAATAGCACGGCCCAGTAAGCTGGGTATGGTGGACCTAAGTCGCGTCGTTCAGCACTGTCCTCTTTTCCATGCGTTGCTTGTTCAACACTCAGTATCCCAAATGAGCGTATATGGAAGCCGTAAGACTTTCGTGCAAATACAGCCATTCCCTGCCTTCAGTCCTGCATCTTACAAGGCAGGCCAGTCTCGAAAAGCATGCAGCATCTCATACCGTGCGCCATTCTAGGTGGTAGCTAGGCATCTGGTTGTAGGTACCTACCTAGGTAGGTAGAGAATGATGTCCGGCACTGCGTTACGAGATATGACGTAATTTGCGACTGGGCAGGCTCAACACAAGTCCCTTCTTGTTCCATTCCAACCGGGGCCAGGGCATGCACGACCCACATTAACGACACAGCACCACTCGGACACGGACGGCAGGCACAGCCGCTCCTCGGAGTTGTGGTTCTCGCCCCGAAGCAGCCCAACCAGGCGCAGAAGAGCAGTGAAGGTTAGGGGGAGCCCTGCCCCGGAACCACGCAAGCTGCAAGGCGATCTTGGGGAGGGGCAGAAAAATCCTATCTGGGAGGGAGACACGAGTCGTTCTAGACTGACTTGCGACTCCACCATGTGGCCGCATAGGTAGACTGGTGACGACCGTAGACGCGTAGCAGCCTACTGTTGCGCTACGGCGTGACCGTCGGCGGCCAACGCATCATCAGAGCTGCAGGTCCTCCACCTCGACAGACTAATGGAAGCTTTGTGGGCTGGCTAACACCTTTTTTCCCTCCCAGCTTGATTTTTTGCATGGAGGCTCAAGACATCGCAGGCCGTCTGGTATGATCGACAGGGCTGTGTCCAAGACACGGGGCCAGGGGAGAGTGGTGTAAGGTAGGTATATACGAGGGATCATTTTGCTGGGCCACCAACTTGATCTCGCGTCCTTGGTACAGCTCTGATCCTCCTCCTACCTTGTTCCCACTGCATTGGGTCAGCATTGGTCTCCTTGCGTCTGGGAAGAACAACCAGCGACCATCACAGCGTGCACAGCTTGAGCTGCCACGACCCCACCGGGCCTGTGGCTGAGCCGGTGCCGTCATACCTCCGCGACCGATTCTCCCTGCAAACGAGGAAAGGCAATCTTGCATTCCCGTTGGTAGCAAGCATCGCCTAACACCATGGCACGACGACGGAACAGTGTCATTGTCGCTGCTGTCTGCTATCTGATTGCAATCATCTTTCTCATTCTCGTGCTGATAGGGAATACGTCCAACAAGCCGGTCCTCAGAGATATCTTCTTCTTCCGCCTCGACGTCGCAAATGTCATTCCAATCTCCACCGCCGCCGATGCCACCCTCCTCAACACCAATGCCCGGACGCTAGGCCTTCACGATTTCTACCAGATCGGCCTATGGAACTTCTGCCAGGGATACAGCGATGAGTACGCCTCCCAGGCGCGCCTTTGGCGAAACGTGACAGGATTCTGCTGACAGGCCCTCGCGCAGAGGCGTCACCGAGTGCTTCAAGCCAGAGGCTCTCTGGTGGTTCAACCCGATCGAGGTGCTGACGAGCCAGCTCTTCACCGGCGCCGTCATCGCGCTGCCGCAGGAGGTGACGACGATCCTCACCGTCCTGCGCCTCGCCCAGCAGATCATGTTCGGCTTCTTCCTCTCGGGCATCTGCCTCGCCTTCGTCATGCTCCTCGTGTCGGCCGTCGCCATGCGCTCGCGCTGGTGGTCGCTGCCCCTCGCCATCTTCGCCTTTCTCGACGCCCTCCTCGTCACCGTCGCCAGCATCCTCGGCACCGCTATGAGCGTCGTCGCCAAGTACGCCCTCACTGCCCAGTCCGAGCTCAACCTCCGCGCCAGCCTCGGCCCTCGCATGTTCGCCTTTATGTGGGTTGCCTCGACCGCGACCATTGTCGCCTTTTTCGTACACGCCATCATGGGGTGCTGCTGCCGCCGGCACCCGCTCGACGAGCGGCGCACGAAGAATGGAGCCGACGCCCGACGGGAGCCAGGCCATCCTCGGAACCGAAAGCCACGACATCGACGAGGCGGAGGACGGGCCCTGGGTGCCTTTTTCGGCATAGGAAAGACAGGAAAAGGAGATGGAGTGGCAGAGAACAAGAGCACAACGCACACTTCGACATGAGGCCACACGATACCGTTGCACACACCTGCGAAAGCATAGATAAAGAAGTAATGAATTGTAATCATGATAGAAGTCCTGACCGGGACAGTTGACATGAGAAGAAAACGAAGAATAACTCCGTGGCCGCCGAATTCCGATGTCCCGCTATGCTAGAAATGATTTGAACGCCATGATTTTCACCCTCCGTCAAAAAAGGGTTTGCTCCTCAAACCCCCTCCCCCCCCCAGGATAAAAAAAAAAGCCTAGAGGAGCGAATTGACACTCAGGACAGGCCCGGCGCTCTCAAAGTCGCGCATCCATGACGGCCATTTGCGCTTCGCTTCGCAGCCTCGGCGACGAGGGTGAAGTCGCGGAGGAAGGCGTCGGTTGATGGTGCCTGGCCGGCTAAGGGGGCGGGTGGTGGCGCCATAGACGCGGCGGGCGACTGTTGTGTAGAAGAAGAGGAGGAGGAAGACTGGCTGGGTGCGTACATGACGGGCGACGGACGTCTGAAGGCTGGGTGGAACACGTTGATTGGGGGTTTTTTTCGTTTCTTTTCTTGCTTTCTTTGGGCTCAAATGGTGGACTGCCGATTTGAAGTCTGCGGATGAAGAGGTGGGAAGGGGTGGGGTGATGGAATGCCAGTGAAGTAAAAGATTTGGGGGGGGTCGATATCCGGGGGAGAATGCCGATCACTGTGGACTCTTTAAGACCTGACTGAGGCTGCGGGGAGGAGCAGGGAGATCGCGATCTGGCCGAGCCGAGGACGTCGCTGCCGCCAGGTCGCAACGAAGGAGAAGGATGAT